TATTGAAATGTCTCCTGGGTGAGGAAAAATACATGCACACAGTTTTTTTAACATTAATTGACAAAAGATTATCTTGAAGCCAAATGAAATGTCTGAAGAGCAGCAACAGTAGATATCTTTACAGCAAAACGCCAAAGTCTTTATTTTTAACATTCTTTGTACATTTTTTTTCAACAAATCTGAATGTTACACACCACATCCATAAAGGCTCTAATATGGAAAAGCAACACATTATTATCCAATTTAACTTTTCACCCAAATGTTTGCTTTCAAATTGATCAGTCAATTAAAACGTAACGAGTGTAATGATTAATGGCTCTAATTATCAATAGTGCAGCAGAACACAAAGATGTATTTAACGAAATCTTTCAAAAAAGAAAAGAGAAGAAAGCCAATAAAGTACAGGGTACAAATTGTTTATATATGAGATATATTCAGAGCGGTGCATGAATGTATGAACGGGAACARTGTGGAACTTTCCTTGATTACAGAGGAAGTAAAGCCGTTTGGTTTTCCTCCACCAGCTGTGTTGCTTAGCTGCCTTATGGAGCAGGCTCATTAGGCTACGTTTCAGACTTTGTCAGTACTGACATTGCATAACTCCGAATACCGAGCACTGTGTCACAGTGATTTACGATCACTGTTCTTCACTGTACCCTTGGGTGCTTTAATCCACTGAAAACTTTGGGTTTTGATGACCACATCAAAATAAACAGACAGCATCCAGGGAGTGTTCCATAAGGTAGTTTGGAGCTCGGAGGGGTTTTCAATTGAAAAAGGTGTTTGTGAGCAGGTGCTGCCAAACCAAAAGCCCGGACTAAAATGCTCCATCCGCCAATTAAGCACTAAAATCACTAAAACCCAACATCACACACCAACAAGCACGGTCCTTGTCAAACGTAGCATGACGCTTTTTCTATCTTGATGTAACATTTCACAGCTCAGTTGATTTAAAAACYGTGCCAAGAGGTGCAAAACGAATCCTGTAGTTCCTTACCTTTGGATACTGTTGAACTGGAATAAGGACTCTTTCCGAGAGTTTGATATTTTTATTGCTGATAATATCTAGGTATTTCTTCGTGTCGCCATCTTTTTTCAATTCATCGCCTTCATGCTTCTCAATCTCTGTAGAGGGGAAAAAAGTGGAAAGAGATAAAAAATAACTAGGTATGTAATTACAAGCAAACAAAAGCAAACATTCATTAACAAAAGTCATTCAATTATCTTTAGAGCTAAGAGCATTTCTTGAAGGAACGAGGATCAGCTGCTGCCTTGCATGTCAACGCTTTTAATAAAGATTCTTTTCTGATTGATTTGTTGAGGATGACTCTTAGCTACTAGCCAGAGTTGTAAATTAACTAAGTACAAATACTTTGATACTGTACTTAAGTATAATTTTTAGGTATCTGTACTTTACTTGAGTTATTATTTTTCAGCCTACGTTTTACTTCTACTTCTTACATTTTCACACAATTATCTGTACTTTCTACTCCTTACATTTAAAAAAAAGACAGTAAGTAGAAAGTCGTTAATTTCATTTTTACTTCTTCTCATTCCAGCTTGTTATTGTAAAAAATAAAAACTATCGATATAAATTGTACCTCCTAGATAGAGTGAATTTAATTGTGGTTGAATGAGAAGTATAAATATGTAAAATTTGGATAACATATTAGTTTGTACACGAACAAATCATGTCACACTCCAGCAGGACATAATCATTAAAATAAAAGTACTGTACTTAAAAAGTATGTGTATTTCAT